CAGTGATAAAACTTCCATTGACTTCAGTGGTGTGAGATCAGGCCTATAGTGTACTAATTGGCATGCATTAATTCTTCCCAGCTGGGACAGGTTTGTTACCTTGCTGAAGGCAGGGCAGGTACATTTGCTCCTTCTTCTAACCTTTGATTGTAAACTCTTGGGGCAGGGACTGTCTTTGTGCTGTGTGCTTATACAATGTCTGGCACAAATGGGGCCCTGGTCCCTAATTGAGACACCGAGGTGCTACCACAATACAAATAATATCCAGAAGGTAATCTCTGATGAGTTCAATACATAGTTGTATATCAATAAAATGCAGTATCTGTGATGTAATAATGGGTCAATAGTAGTAACTAACAGTAGCAAAAATAATGAACAATATTATAAAATGTCAACGAGAGTAAGACCGTGTCCAATATGTTTTAAATATACAAGTCTTTATTATGGAGTCTGACTTGACCTGTCTCACTCACAGGATTCATTGACTGGATTCCTGATAGATATAGGTGCAAGTGAGCTCAGAATGAGTCCCATGGTTAAAAGCACAGCTTTTCATTCATCTGTGGAGAAAAATGTTTGGAAGAAAGGCAAACAACAATTCAAATATATAATATTTTGTATAAAAATAAATCAGCTTTACAATAGTTTAATATATGTTTGTACAAAGTGTTAAAATTCATCAGTTTTGAACGTCCAGCTTCTAAAAAATATACACATGAAAACTTTACACAGCATTACTAAATGTTCACTTTAGCTCTAGACTTGCACTTGAAATATTTGACAAAAATAAATATAGTCACATAACTATCATACTGTGTGCCTTTTTGTTTGGAATGTTTAAAAAAAACAGAAGGATAAATCTGTTACATGAATAACTATTTTATCAGTTGCAAATATCAAATATAATTAGGAAATGTGATCAAATAAATATATGTATTTTCTCCAAAGTCAATCCATGCTGTAAAGTGAGTAAGTGAACAATCTATTTGTTTATTTCAGTGGTGCCCAGAGATGCTAACCATGACTGGGGACCCATTGTGCTACGGCAGCACAAACACTAATCTCTGTCCCAAAGAGGTTACGATCGAAAGCCCTGAACCTGCAAACACTTACATGTACTTTACTATCATGAGTAGTCCCATTGAAACCAATAGGACTCCTGATGGTCTTGAAATTAAACATGAATGTACGTGTTTGCAGGATTGGCACCTAATATTTGCAAAGGCTCAACAATTGGGCAAAATAAACAGAAGGAAGCAATTGAAAAGAGGATGAGGGCAACAGTGACAGGAAATATGTAGTTACATAGAAGAGCTAGATGCACATCTAAATGGTTATAGAGTCAGGTGGTTTTTTAATTAGGATTAGGACTGATCAAAAATTTCTGAATTTTGAGTTTTTGACAAGGTTTTCGGTTGAAAATTCAGTTTTAATTAGGGAAAAATCAAAAATATATCATTTTTTGCATGTTGCCCAGCTCTAATTATAATATAAATACTCCAACACATAAAATATGTTTTTGTTCATTGTTAAACTGTGCAAAGTTTGTAGCTTTACACTTATGTTTTACCTGAAGACCAAAGGAGACAGTTAATTTACAGAGGTCATGGGTGAGACATGACAAACATGTAATAGTCAATTACTAACATCATTACAAAAATAAGAACATATCTGAATGAAACAGCTGCAGTCAGTGGATACAGATACAGACAACTTAAATAATGACATTAGCCCATGAACTCAGATATTGTATGAATAATATTGACATTTATGCTACAAACTTCCATTACGTTTTTAGAATGAAATGTTTCCCATTATCTTTTCCTATGCTGCATACTTTATTATGTATAATCTTTGATTCCACATGCAGTATAAAATTGTTGAATTTAATAAAACCTGTTGTAGTGATGCTAGATGTCAAAACTAATATTAATCCATGAGGCACTGCATTACAAATGATTGGAAGAATTCTGATTAGTTAATTTATCTTCCATAAATGTTGATGTAACTGACAAAATATGTCCATATAATTTATGGGAAATGCATAGTCTTCATTGTTGATTTGTTTTTGTAAGATTTTGCATAATCTACATTTACATATGTTTTGAATGGGTTTGTCATGTAATCCTATGCTTGCAATACTTATCTTTCTATTTTAGATGTCTGGCCCCCTCCCTTTGCTCCCCACCGCCAAGTGTTCGGTCGGGAATGAACCTGAGAAATATTAAAATTAAAAAAAAGTTTATTTCTACTTTGTGGAATATTCATTGTGGATCTCCAAGTACGAGCTGTCATTTGAAATCCATTTAAATCAACAGTACCTATAACATGGATTTTTTACTGCCATAGCGAGGATTTCCAGATCCATACTGCTCAAATGTACGTGTACATGTGTACGTGTGGATACACAATAAGAGACAAATTTGAGAGTAACTTTGTTTGGCTTTAAACTTGTATTGAGAGGTGGTGGGCTGCTTAACCTGATAACTCTTTTGGACATGTTAGGTGCAACCACATAAAAGTATTAAGAGGCACCCATGCGAGAAGTTCCCATGTGCCCACGCCTGCACACCCATTTATTCATGCCACCTCCACACACACAACACTCAATACCACCCACATTGAGAGTATTACACTCAATACCACCCACATGCTCAAATACCCACACGTACACACCCCATCCCAATCACTCCTTGCAATCTAATCTCGTGTATATCCATATCCCTCGTTCATGCTTACCTATCCACACTTATGCTTCTGCCCTTTTACCCATCCACTCCTCACTCCTGCCCTCATGTTTGTGCATATTCCTTTGCTCTAGCGCCCACCTCCTCACACAGACCTATCCACCCTGTCCCCTTCTTTCTCATCTCTCACACATACAGCATCAGAGAATTGTTCTTGTCCACCCATAGATACATGTCCACTCCATCACTTCTGCTCCCAATATATCACCTCCTCATCTAAAAGAAGAGGGGGAAAGGATATGAACTGAGAGAACCTCTTTACAGTCCAGGGCTCAAAGCTCAGGGGAGGAAGAGATGAAGAGGTTAGAGAAAGATCTTCACTCCCCCCCTTCACATAGGCCTATGAAACTAGAGCTACTGGACGGTCTTCAGTCTCCTTCTCTGATGGTACAGCTGCTGGAAGCCTGAGCTAGTTTTAGTTCCCTAAACAAGTGAGCTGCTGGGGGGTTGACTGAGCCAGAGGCAGGATAGGGCACTGGGGATAGAAATCTCTGGTCCCAAGAAGGTGCACACTTTGCTAAACACATGCATTTACTTTGGGGTGGGGAAAGAGAACTGCCACTGGAGCACCTGGCTATATTTGGGATGGAGGGATATCAGTAGAGAGAGGGGAGAAAAGACACATACCTCTCCCTCATGTGAACTTTTTAAAATTATTCCCTTAGTGTCATTTATCCAGGGAAGAACCTGCCTTCTATTTTAAGACCTCAGGAGATGCACTGAGTATGTCAACAATTCATAATAAAAACTAAAAACATTGTAAGCCTTTTGCTGTGGCAAAACCTCTCTCTCCCAAGTCGGGTATTATAATAATGTTGAGTGTTGATGACAAACGCGCATGTTGTTTTGCGCTACACGCTGTTGTACTCAAGATGACACATTCTAATCAGTTAACAGAAACAGATTTTTAGTGAGACTGTGTTGTTTATTATAAGATCTATCGATGGAGTAGGTAAACTTTTATATAGGTACACCGTAGTTTCTTCAAAATGATCACAGATAAAGTACATTGCTCTGAGTACAGTAGCTGTACTGTAGCAAGAAATTTAATGAAATTCTTTATCAAGCACCTTAGGGAATTAGAAGAATATTGGAAAACTGCTGTAACATGCGCAGCTTGTGAATTGCTTTGAAGTCACTTTAAATTTACAATTCATGCACCTCTCTGTGCATTATGTATGTTCTTGCAGCTGAATGAAAATCAAATATTGCACAAAGAAACCTGCTTTTTATTCCTATTTAGTGTAAGTGTGTATATGTATCTCTCTGATTACTATTCTTAAATTTTCCAGAGTCCCCAAAACTTACACGTCTAAATCATCATCTTAAGTTTTTGTGTTCTTCTTTTCTGACCGAATTGTGCATAGGCAAACCCTCAGACATGGGTGAAAAAAACCTATAATTTTATGTAGAAATCAGGTAGGTAGGTATATAATTGCTTGATTTAAGCCCACAAACACAATCTGAGCACCTCCACTGCACCTTGCACATGCAAAGTTTTGGAAACCAAGCAATAAGCATGCAAATATCTTAAGAAAGGTGCTTTTGGCATTCCAATCTCGAAGCTAGGAGAGGTGTCTTTAAATAATTGGGCCTCACTGCACATTTTTATGTGCATACTTGTTTTTTGTTATAACACGATCTTGTCAAAATATAGAGCTAAATTACTAATATTCTATTATTGTGTAAATTGTTTGAATGTTACTTTTGCCAGTGTAAGTAAGAATTTATTCCATTGAAGTCAATGTATTCCATGGTGAGAGTGGAATCAGTCCTTTAATTATCCTTCACCATGCTTGTGAAGCAACCAGTTCAAACTGGTAGCACATGCTGAATTTACATCTTGGAAACATCTTATTCACTGGAGCTTCTAAAATACTTGCACTGTTCCATTCTTTCCCAAAAGTCATGACATTTCCCTTATGGTAATGCCAGAGGAAGAGAGTCAAATTATATTCTACAGAGGGAGGAAAGTAACTTGACCAGAAATCCAAGGACTTCTGTGAATTCAAACCAAGTAAAATGGGTTTCAAAGACTGCTTCAAAGAACTTTGATGTTTTCACTCTAATTAGGAGTTTAATTTCTGTTGCCTTCATTTCCTTTGATTAAAAATAAGTATATTAAGATCCATCATTAGACAACAAAATCAAGTGCTTAAAGAATTGTATTTCCAAAATATTATTTACAAAGTTAATCAGTAAATTGTGCCTTTCAGCGTATAACATTTTTCTCACAAATTACAATATTTTCAGTTTCTTGGCAGTACAGAAGTGGAGCAACCCAAAGGTACAGAAGTTGTGAGAGATGCTGTTAGAAAACTAAAGGTAGGGAAGCATTTATAAATATAGATAAAACCAATGCGTAACATGTTATATTATATATAGCTAAATAAATGACTGTGGACATTTACAGCATGTCAAAAGCTGTGACTTTTACTAACCTCACTAGTATGTAAATACTTCTGTATTCTGTATATACTATCAGATCTTCTACTCTTCTGCCCAAATGTTTTGAAGACTGACTTGCTAGGAAAGATAACTACCAATAGTAGCATAAAGTTCAGTGCCTTCATGTATAATACCTTCATTTGGCAAATTGGACTTTATTAATTCTAAATTATTTATCAATAGTTTAATTTCGTTTCAGCTACCCATATGTGGTGATTGATAACCTTTAATCAGGCTATAAAAAATCCTGTTGCCTGTCAGTGCAAGACAACTAAAACTTGTTTAGACTTATGGCTCATTACTGAGAATCACATCTAACTTGAGGTTGAAAGTGAAGATGCCCTGCTGCACCAGTTTTCCTGGAAGTGCCGCCGAACTATCAAAGAAATGGGTGACTGGTGCTCTCAGCCTAGCACTTGGCTGAATTCCAGTCATTTTCATCTTGTGCAGAAGTTCAGGATGAATGAACGGAACTAACAAATCCTACAATCCTTATTAAGACCCGGTCTACACTACGGACTTATATTGGTATAACTATGTCACTCGGGTGTGAAAAATTCACACCCCTGAGCAATGTGGATATAGTGCCCTAATCCCTGGTATAGACAGTGCTATGGCAACAGGAGAGGTGGATTAACTATGCCAATGGGAGAAACTCCCCATCGGCATAGTGGAATCTTCTCAAAGGACAGGCACACTTGAAATGCTGCATCGGTCCAGCTGCAGCACTTAAATGAAGACACTCCTATGCCGATGGAAGAGGTGGATTTTTCATACCCTTGAGCGACGTAATTATACTGATATAAGTTTGTAGTGTAGACCTGGCCTAAAGCGCTATAGCAGCACAGCTATATTATCATGTAACCCTCAGTGCGTTCAGTGGGAATTTTGTATATTGGACTGCAAGTTCAAGGAAGAAATCAGATGGAAAAAAGAATGTTTCTTACAGTCTAGGGAAATGTACCAGCAAAGGGCTTAGATGTCCAAATGGATCAGTCTGCATGCATCCCTGTCCTAGGCAAATATTTGTGCAAGATCAAACACTAAATCTTACAAATGTATATTTATAGTAAGATTTCTGTGAGTAAAATGCTGTCCATGATTAACTGGTGCATTGATAAGCAACTACCTGATATCATAGAATCATAGGACTAGAAGTGGAGGAGGTTCAGGTTGGATATTAGGAAAAACTTTTTCACTAGAAGGGCGGTGAAGCACTAGAATGGGTTACCTACGGAGGTGGTGGAATCTCCTTCCTTAGAGGTTTTTAAGGTCAGGCTTGACAAAGCCCTCGCTGGGATAATTTAGTTGAGGAGTGGTCCTGCTTTGAGCAGGGGATTGGACTAGATGACCTCCTGAGGTCCCTTCCAACCCTAATATTCTATGATTCTGTGATTCTAAGGGACCTCGAGAGGTCATCTAGTCCAGTCCCCTTCATTCATTGCAGGACTAAATATTATCTCGACCATCCCTGACAGGTGTTTGTCTAACCTGCTCTTAAAAATCTCCAGTGATGGAGATTCCACAACCTCCCTAGGCAATTTATTTCAGTGCCTAACCACTCTGACAGGAAGTTTTTCCTAACGTTCAACCTAAACCCCCCTTGCTGCAATTTAAGCCCTTGCTTCTTGTCCTATCCTCAGAGGTTAAGAAGAACAATTTTTCTCCCTCCTCCTTATAACAACCTTTTATGTACTTGAAAATTGTTATATCCTCTCTGTCTTCTCTTTTCCAGACTAAACAAACACAATTTGTTCAATCTTCCCTCATAGGTCATGTTTTCTGGACCTTTAATCATTTTTGTTGCTCTTCTCTGGACTTTTTCCAATTTGTCCACATCTTTCCTGAAATGGGAAAGATGTGGACAAAATGCAGTGCCCAGAACCTGACACAATACTCCAGTTGAGGCCTAATCAGTGCAGAGTAGAGCAGAAGAATTACTTCTCATGTCTTGCTTACAACACTCCTGCTAATACATCCCAGAATGATGTTTCTTTTTCTTTTTTTTCTTTTTTTGCAACAGCGTTACACTGTTGACTCATATTTAGCTTGTGGTCCATTATGCCCCCCAGATCCCTTTCCACAGTACTCTTTCCTAGGCAGTCATTTCCTATTTTGTATGTGTGCAACTGATTGTTCCTTCCTAAATGGAGTACTTTGTTTTTGTCCTTAATGAATTTCATACTATTTACTTCAGACCATTTCTCCAGTTTGTCCAGATCGTTTTGAATTTTAATCCTATCCTCCAAAGCACTTGCAACTCCTCCCAGCTTGGTATCGTCCGCAAACTTTATAAGTGTACTCTGTAAGACATTATCTAAATCACTGAGGAAGATACTGAACAGAACCAGACCCAGAACTGACCTCTGTGGGACCCCACTCGTTATGCCCTTCCAGCATGACTGTGAACTGCTGATAACTACTCTCTGGGAATGGTTTTCCAACCAGTTTTGCACCCATTTTATAGTAGCTCCATCTAGGTTGCATTTCTGTGGTTTGTTCATGAGAAGGTCATGTGAAACAGTAAAACAAGTTTTAATAAAGTCAAGCTATACCACGTCTACTGCTTCTCCCTACCCACAAGACTTGTTACCCTGTCAAAGAAAGATATCAGGTTGGTTTGACATGATTTGTTCTCGACAAATCCATGCTGACGGTTACTTATCACCTTATTATCTTCTCGATGTTTGCAAATTGATTGCTTTATTATTTGCTCCATTATCTTTCCGGGTACAGAAGTTAAGCTGACTGTTCTGTAATATCCCTGGGTTGTCCTTATTTCCCTTTTTCCAGATTGGCACTATATTTTCCCTTTTCCAGTCTTCTAGAATCTCTCCCGTCTTCCATGACTTCTCAAAGATAATTGCGAATGGCTCTGATATCCCCTCAGTCAGCTCCTTGAGTATTCTAATATGCATTTCATCAGGCCCTGGTGACTTGAAGACATCTAACTTATCTAAGTAATTTTTAACTTGTTCTTTCCCTATTGTAGCCTCTGATTCTACCTCATTTTCTCTGGCATTCACTATGCTAGACATCCAATCGCCACCAACTTTCTTGGTGAAAACCAAAACAAAGAAGTCATTAAGCACCTCTGCCATTTCCACATTTTCTTTTATTATTTTTCCCCCTCATTGAGTAATGGGCCTACTCTGTCCTTGGTCTTCCTCGTGCTTCTAATGTATTTGTAGAATATTTTCTTGTTACCCTTTATGCCTCTAGCTAGTTTGATCTTGTTTTGTGCCTTGGCCTTTCTAATTTTGTTCCTACATACTGGTGTTAGTTGTTTATATTCATCCTTTGTAATTTGTCTCTTGCCATACTTCCTATCTTTCCTATGCAGTGGGATTGTTTGCTCTTGTGCCCTTAATAATGTCTCTCTGAAAAACTGCCAGCTGTCTTCAATTGTTTTTCCTCTTGCTTCCCATGCGATCTTACCTACCAACTCCCTGAGTTTGCTAAAGTCTGCCTTCTTGAAATCCATTGTCTTTATTTTGCTGTTCTCCCTCCTACCATTCCTTAAAATTATGAACCCTACCATTTCATGATCACTGTCACCCAAGCTGCCTTCCACTTTCAAAATCTCAACCAGTTCTTCCATGTGCATAAGCTTCTGAATCACAGCCATTGTCAGAGTTACACAAAGATCTTCAAACTATGTGATTTTATATAGTTTTCAAAGGCCCAATCCTGTAATTGTTCTTCATGAACAACTTCCATTTTAATTTGTGTGAGGACATAGAATCCAGTTGAGAAAACTTATGGATTCAATTGAAAATTTTTAGAACTCCTCCCCAACCCCGCAAAAAAAAAAAGAAGAAAGAAAACCATAGATTAATGAAAAGGCTCTATGTAGAAACAATCCTCAGTAGATTAAAAACCTCCCTCTCAACATCACTTCCAATACATAGCATTGACTGTGTTCTGAATCTGAATTCCGTGACAAAAAATATAGAGATACTGAGTTTATTCTTATTCAGAAAAATAGCCTTTAGTTTGCTTTAAAAAATAGGAATGTCAGTTAAAATTTAATAAAACTACAGTAAAATCATAGCTTCAAAATGGATTCCATTATATAGAGAAGACAAAAACATGCTTAAAGAATTTTTGACCCATATGAAAGAGGAGTCGTTGTTAATGAAATGATTTATGATTAGCTTGTGGTATTGTATTTTTTGGTCACGTGGTTCTGGTTTTAATCAAAATTAAACTAATGTCTTGCACAAAAGATTGGATCCAGCAAGATACTAAGCTCCTCCTGAGACATGTTGAGGACTTTCCATGACAGGCCACATTAATTCATTTTGAAACATTAGTGTATTTAGACTGGTATAAACCATGTTGGTGTGTCATGTTTTCATTATTGAGCCAGCGTCACAGCAGTCTGTGTCGGAATGAAGTGTTTAGTGATAATTTATGATTTCTTACTTCCTTGATTCCAGGAATTAGGAGAACAACTCACATAGCTTGAAGAGTTTAATACTTTCTTCCAAAAAAACCAACATTGTACAAAATCATAGTATACAACTATTTAGAATTTGATTTTTACCAGCAGGTGGAGCTGATGTTCTACAGCAAAACAATAATTGATGTATTTTTTTCTTAATACTTCCCCACACACTTTCATTTCATATACTACTTTCATGTTTTTTAAACGCTCAGTTACTTTACTGGGTCATTTGCAGTTTTAACTCTGACATGGTTGTTAGAAGACAGGAAGCCACTTTCTCACTTTGTCTCATTTCTTGATCAGATCTGCTCAATTTTCTTTATCCAGAATGTTATTAAACTTTGCCTTGTTTTCAGATTATTTTAGGGCACAAGGGACGGATGATGAGACTCATAATTATGCAGGGAATAGAGAAAATTTGACACTGTAGTGTTTTACGGCATGTGTTTATAAACATTTCTAAGATGGATAATGGGAACACTTGACCCATCCAACAACTCTACATGGGTAGGAACACAGACTTACGGCCCACTACAGTGTCTGCCAGACTGTGGGGCATGGAGAAATAACCTTCCCATCCACCTGGAAGAGATTCATCTGCTGGGAGTCTAAGGAGATTACTTGCGCACATATACCTGGCAGCCCTTAAGAGACCCTCCAAAGGGAAGGCAAAGGAAGCAGCAATAGAAAACTGCCTAATCGCTTTCCTTGCCTTCCATTACCATCCTGCCCCTAGCTCCTCATGCCTGCTGGGCTGCCATCCCTTGGGTCTTGTATACTTGGAGGGAAGAGGAGAGGAAATGGGACTGAGTCCCCTGCAGCACTTTACCATGCAGATTCAGTAATGGAGCCTCCTTACCAAAGCTGGCAGATTTTTAGGCTTCCTCCCAGCCTGGTATATATTTTGATAGGCCTAGTGTAACTATCTTTTTCAACCCACCCTAGCTGGTACATTTCTGAGAAACTTACCCCCTTCTACCTGTATCTTAAGGGATTCAAATTTTCTTCTCTTTGAGTGCTCTTCTTTGTTCTTGCTGTTTGAAGGCTAAATTCCAAGGACCCTCTTTCCTTATATGCATTTATTGCACCTAGCACAGTGGGGCCCTGATCGGGGATGATACATATAATGAAGCAGCAGCTACAGTCTGGCTAAACTCTTCTTCTACCTCCTGCTGATGTTGTCATGGCAGGATTGGGAGAAGCATCTTCCCACATTTAGGTAAAAAAGGTGAGACTTGGATGGCGGTCCCCAGATGAGCTAAAATTAAAGTGAGAACAGGATTTATTTGTAATTCATGGCCCTAATGAAAGAGTCTAAGACACTTGCCCAAGTTCACACAGGAAGTTGGTGTGATAGCAGAGAATTGAACGCCGGTCTCCTGGGTTCCAGGCTAACAACTGAACCATCTTCCCTTTAAAAAATGAGGCTACAGGGAATACAATTAAATCCATAAAATGAAATATAAATGTTAAGTAAAATTATATCACTTTGATTTGGCATTTGATTTTCTTTAATCATTGTATAATCTGGTACTTCTCTAAGTAGATCATCCATGCAGATTCTAAGATGTATGTTTTTGTCCTTATACAGTTCTGTTCCTGATTAACCCTCCAATTGCAGTTTGCTAACACTTAATGCATAAGCATTTCAAATGTAACTTAATAATCCCAAACAAGAAGGCAATTTTCCCAAACACTATTGTGAAATTAATGAAATACATGCATATATACAGTGTTGCGGGGGGTGGGAAGGGGGTGGGGGTTTGAGTTAAATGAAACCAGAGAAAATCAGTTTAAATACACCTTTACCCCGATATAACGCTGTCCTCGGGAGCCAAAAAATCTTACCATGTTATAGGTGAAACCACGTTATATTGAACTTGCTTTGATTCGCTGGAGTGCGCAGCCCCGCTCTGCCGGAGCACTGCTTTACCGCGTTATATCCAAATTTGTGTTATATCAGGTCGTGTTATATAGGGGTAGAGGTGTATATATGTTGTGGTTTCCCCTTAAAAAGTTACATACAGCTAAGGACATCGTAAATGTCCATTCCAAAAACTACATAAAAAGGAAAGTTAAAAATTTTCACTTATTTAATTCAAATTTCATTCAGCCCTTTACAGTTATTTAAGATCTGATTCTACCCAATGGGCTTCTGTTTATAATATTGAGCTAAAATCTGTTGTTTTGTCCAAGTGAGGATTAGGTAAAAACTAAACAAGAGCCTGTGAAGTTGGCCCACTGTGTTCATTCCCAAGCCATGTTGTGATTCAATTTAACTTTATGTTCTAACCCTATGATCCTTGCCAATCTCAGCTCCAAGGATCAATCTGTCAACATGTTCTTCTCCAAGTTCCCAGTATTTCTTCCCACTTTCTGTTTTGATGCTAATATGAGGCTGCACATGTCTACCCTCTTAAAGAATTTTATTAGTGTGTAGGCTGCAAACGGGGGTGGGGAAGTGTTGAATACATGCTGACGGTAAAAAAATGGAGTTTGTAAGGACATTTGAGCTACATGGCCTTTTCCAGACACAGTCTGTTGAAGGAAATAGTGGAACTAATGGAGAGAGATAGAGGCAAGAAAAATAAAGGGGTAGATATTCGGAAAAGAATATTTGCACAAGGATCAATCCTTTGGAACCCTGTGATGCTTTTGGGATGGGTAAGGATGGGACACAAAGATGGGAGAAGTGCTCTAAGTTGCACCACTTGCAATGGCCTCCAAAGTGCCATTCCAGGAGCCAGGAATGACTGCAGTGCAAATATCCTCAATCCACAACCCCAATTCTGGGAGGCTGCAATGGGTGGTGGACCGATGCTGGCTATGTGAACCTTATGCCACATGGGGGTGCCGTGGCAATTACCCAGCAGGTCAGTTAAGCTAGTTTATTATAATTTTGTTTTATTTGTATTGCCATAGGATAAGCCCGCTGGGACCAGGGACCCATTGTGCTACGTGTTGTACAAATATATAATAAGAGACAACACCTGCCCCTGAAGGTTTACAATATAAAAAGACGTTAAACTGAATATAAGCAAAAAAGTGGTGAAAGGGAGGAAAGAGGATAAATAAGAAAATGTGGGAATGAAATAGAAAATATCATAAGCTTTAATAAAGGCTTAAAAAAATCTATATGAATGAAATGCCTGTTTTAACAAGGACAGTGATAGCCTGCAGGCTCTGTAACGAACTGGGAGTATGGCTGCATGAAAAATGTAATGACAATTTTCTTTTATGGACAACTGACACCGTTTTTGGAGTAAACCATTTTCTGTGGAAATTTTTGAGTTTTCATTGAAATTCCAAAAGCGTTTGGGCCAAAACATGAAAATCTTTTGGTTTTCAGGTTTTTATTTTTCAATGAAAACAATTTTTTTTTAATCAAAAATTTCTTTGGGGGAAAAAAACCATTTTCTGAGCAGCTCTAATTTAGAGGGAATGGTAGCGATCTTCATCAAACTGTGCTTAACAAGAGATTTGTGAAATATGTTACCTGGACAATGAATCAGGACATAGGAAGTTTAATGATGTGGTTCTGCACTGCCTTAAACCTGCAGTGTGAATGTAGGTTGCTACCACATTGCAATGACAGCATTTTACACCCACTTTGTACAGGTGGAGACTGCACAAGGTGAAAGGCCTCGGAGAGTTACATGCTAGATGTATAAATACAGCAGTGGTGACTCGGAGAATAGGAGTAAGCATGCCTATACTTCACAAACTGTGTGCAGGACACACATAGGAGGCAAAAGGAAGTTATTTAAACTATCTGTTGGGTTTGGGGGTTTTTTTAGACAATTGGTAGGAAGCTAAGTAGATTGGCTTTTCTCAGTGAGTTTGCTGTGGCCATCCTGTTACAAGCCAGCTTAAAAAGGGTCTTGCCAAAGATTATCACAGTCCTGGCTGCTGCAATTGAAAGAGGACATCTACATCTATGAGTATTTTTTAAACTAAAATTGTATTAGTGTGGAACTTACCAACTAATATGATGAGGGACTGATCAGTAATTAACGACCCAGTGCCATTTTAAACTGGACAACTGGTAACATGGTATAGTGATTGCATCTCTGCTCCCCTTCTTACAGTTTGCAAGACATATCAAGAAATCTGAAGGCCAGAAAACTCCGAAAGTTGAATTACAAATCTCAATTTATGGTGTAAAAATTCTAGATCCAAAAACAAAGGTAAGAAACTTAACTTCATAATTGTTTGTTACACCAGTAGTTAATTCAACATTGATTTAGAAATTCTATTTTATAAACCACTCTTCTAATAATTTCTTGTAGTGAAAAACTCCCTACTTATGGAACAACTGTAAAAATGCCTATGCTAGTTACTATAAATGATCATTTTTGTCAACATTTACCACACAGAAGTAAATGAGATAACACAGGTTTTCTAAATATAGAATACATACGGATGCTCACATTTCTGTAACAGAACTACACTGGGACTGACTTTCCATATAGCCATACAAGAAGGACAGAGTGGCCACGACCCCCTGACACCTGTTTCCAACCCTCCTGTGTCCTTCCGTTTGAGAGCATGTGGAATAAGAAATAGCTGTGGCAACTATGAGTTATGCGCTGGCAGATGTTGACTATTTAATGGTGATAACTAAATATGTACTAGTGTTGTAGATCAACTTTTGTAGCTGACTTTATAAGCCATTATATTTGCTGTGAGACTTCTCTTCCACTATTTTGAAAGGGCTACTTGTTTTTCTGGGTTCTCCCCCTCCCCCCCCCCCCCGAAGGCTTTGAAATTCCAGTTGTGCTATAGATATGGCTTTGAAACAATGGCAGCAACTGATTTGGTGAAATATTGGCTCAACTGTGGTCATTTCTACTGTATTGTAGTTCATTGTCTCCCTATTCTGGTTGAAAATGTAATTTGACTTACAGAAAAAAATCAAAACTAAACAAAAAATCTTCTCTTGAATTCAAAGAGGAATAATGACATAAAGGCCCATAAACAGATCTTAAAAGTATTGTAGGTCTAGTCATTCTATAATTACTAAACTCTTTTATACATATATTAATTTTTGAATTGCAATGAACACTATACATTGCTGTGTATTGTATTATTATTTTTATAATGAATATTGGAATTCAGTATAATATTGTAGTTGGAGATAAGCCAAATTTAATTCAAGGACATTTCTACTTGCAAACCTTTCTGCTTGAGATCCTTTAAGTGACAGTGGGTGAAAAGTTGGTAGGCAGAAAACCCCCAGCAACTCTACATTGACTTCATTGTAGTTCTGTATCCTCCTTGTGGCATTGTGGGATGAAAAGTGGTTTCAAATCTTTGTCCTAGCTACAGCCATTTTAAAAATAACAAATGCCAAAAAACGTTAATTTCTTGCAGAAAGAAATATAAGGAGCTTTATAGAAAATTGTGGGACACAAATTACTAAGGGAACAAGACATTTTAAACTCTTGAAAATGTTGTTATAACAAGTTTTAATAGAAATCAACTAGGAGCAGTTTTTGTTCCTCTTTTTTCTTTGTTTTCTTAACACTACAAAATTACACATGAATGAAGCCCTCATTTGCAATTCAGCAAAAGCAGATTTAAAATACACGCAGTGTTATGACAATATCAAAAGGAATATATTTATTGTGTTTTCTGTAAACAGAGGATAAATAGCTTATTCCAACACAAACACATTAATCCTTTGTATTACATGTACAAATAGTTGAACTCACTTTTAATCAGTGTGGAGGGATTTTTTTATAGATGTTTATGGATATATTTTTCAGATGTTATAACAATCGCTTTTTTCTCTTTTTGTTTTTGTTGGGAATAATTCGTTTTAATTAGCTTACTGACCACAGTGAGTCATAGTAGCTGAAGGAATCTTTTTCCCCCCCCAAACGGTTTTGCATGTTGTTAATATTATTATTACTTTTAATTGTGGTAGCGCCTGGGAGCCCCAATCATAGATCAGATCTCCATTTTGGGAGGTTTTCTGCAAACACAAAAGATGTCCCCTGGCCCAAATAGTGTAGGAATTATACAGTGTTGAACAAACCTTGACTTTAAAAGTGGGGAAACAGAGGGGTTGGGCCCAGTTCAATGAAAGGTGAAGATGCCAAGCCCATGAGGAAGGAGGCCCTCAGCATCTCACAGAAGCCCCAAATCACTTGCTCAGACCACACAGCAACAACAGAAACAAGATTACAACACAGGACTTCTGGCTCCCACTTGCTGTCAGGCTGAGAATAACTTGCCCAGGAAAATCAGTTACAGAACCATGTTTAGAATATGGTAGTGCCTAGCTCAGTCCCCTCAACCTTTTCTTCCCCGGGTGCTGCCCCCCTCTAATTTACTGACCCAAAGGTTGAAGAGGAAACATAAAAGAGCTTTTCTTCTTCCCACTGTAGCCCATCTCCTTAAACACAAGGAAGAATTGCTTCCTCCTTTCCTAAATGGGGTTCTGAAGGCAGCTGGCAGTCGCTGCACAGAATTGCCTCTTCCCCTAGAACCGTGGTTCCCAAACTTGTTCCGCCGCTTGTGCAGGGAAAGCCCCTGGCGGGCGGGCCAGTTTGTGTACCTGCCTGCGTCCTCAGGTTCAGCCGATCACGGCTCCCACTGGCCGCGGTTCACAGCTTCAGGCCAATGGGAGCTGCTGGAAGCGGCAACTCGGCCCTGTGCTGTATACTGAGGTGGCACTGGGAACATGAGGAAACACAATCTATTGTTAAAGGGGTGGATGGAGAGAGTATAAGGTAAAGCTTGGAGAGCTGAACAAGCTGTGTGGAGAGGGTGAAGAACGGGAGAAAGCCAAGAGGGAAGGGGTGTGGAGAGTGTCTTGGGATGTAGGGGAGAGGAAGAGAGCCGAGAGCATGGGGAAGATGCGGGAGATAGGAAGGGGAGAGAGCCTTTTGATGGGGGAGAGAAAACAGATGGGAATGAGACCAGTTTGGAAGGAGAGGGAGAACCTAGGGGATGTGGTGAAGAGAGCGCAAGCAGCATGGATGGAAAAGAATGTGACTAAGCTTTTTGGCCAGGAGGTAAATGAGAAAAATAGTTTTAACGTGTGTGGTTTTTTTGACAAGCTGCAGGAGAGATAGAGGTTCAGTGTGTGAGAGACATTTTATTAGGGGACAAGGGGCAGGAGGATGGATGTGGAGAGAGTGTAGAGACTGGCAACAGGGAACATGAGACAGAGAGAGAGATTGAAAACATGGAGAAATGTTTGAAAGACTTAAATCCTGTGTTATAATCTTGGTTCTGCTGTTGGTCTGTGGCCCTAAGCAAATTATTTGAGGCTTGATTCTTGGAGATGCTGACTGCCCCTCTGCTGAGATTACAGCAATCTGTAATCTCTGCACAGGAATCCACAATTTTTAAAGTAGATAATAGCTCACATATCAACTGCAATTGTTCCCTTCATAGCTGGTACTGCTTTCCCATGCTACTGGCCAAATGAAATAAAACACCAAGAGGGCTATTGAGAAAAATAAAATACTAGAATCTCAAATATTCTTTTTATTTCTGTAATTTTGCCAGGCTCTCAAAAATTAAGAACACTCTCATTGCCACCTTTTAAGCAGTTAGGCCATAAGAAAATATTGGGCAGTAGTTTGGGGTTTTTTTTAGTCCCATTCATCAAAAACAATGGTTCACATGGTCACACTTCTCATTTTAAGTGTATGTGACGGAGTACAGGGAGGGAAGATGGGGAGAGTGCGGGAGAGCATGTACTCTGCTCACTTAGATGCTAATTAGTTTCCCAGGGAAGCTGATTGGGGTAATTATCTAATCAGGCTGGTGGGCTGGGTGGGATAAAGATTCAATTAGCCCATCAGCCCAGGTCTGATAAAGAGGCACAGGAAGAAAGTGCCAAGAGGGGGTGAGAGAGAGGAACAGGGCTAGGTGAGCTCAGCCACACAGAGGTCTTAGAGATGCGAGACCTCTGTTCCCCTCAGGTCCTGAGGAGAGGGCCAAATGCACTGTGAATATTGTAAACCAACTGTCCCACAGGGATTGTAATAATTTTGGTGGATGGAACTTAAAATGAAAGGTCACTGAGTGTACACCTGGTGGAGTCTGCTCAGTTTCTCCGGGAAAGAAGACAGAAGTGAAGCCATGCTCTTGTCACAGTATAACTTGTGTGTGCTTTAAAATATATGTCTTGAATTGACAGAACATGAGTGTACTTGTGTATAGAGGAAAGATTTGGATTTGTGCCTTTTTTCATAGAAACCACATGAAGGAATTTGCAAAACACCCCATTTGTTGCCAACAGAAACATTTAGAATTACAAAATGCATTCTGTAAGAAAAGCCATAGTTTCTGTAGAAATTGTTTTCTTTGATATTAACAATAGAATAGTGGATTAGAATGGTTCTGCCATGACACACACACTACAAGCATGTAGGGAGTTTCCTCTCGGTACTACTCCAAATTAAATCTCTCCTGGCTTTTAGGTGTCTAGAAGGTCTGGATTACTTCTTTGCTGGGTGAGATATTAATTGTCATATCAAAGCATAATTACAGTAGACACACTCCTGAGCAGAAATATTAAACTGAAAAAGCAAAACACAACTTATAACTCTCAGGCATAGCACATCAGAACTCCAACAAAAAGCTCTGTGTTCAAGATCTTAACTAACTAGTTCTCACAAAAAGTGTCCCAAATGCCATGTGTTTTGTGTGTTTTAACTCTTCTCCCAAACATATTAAATCCTTGGGTTATTATGTTCTGGTCTGACATTCAAAACAACAACTCTCCTAGGCACACGATTTATCACATTTGTTACAAACCTAAAAGTTCTACACTGATATTTCTTAGGCACATGTCTTGTCTCGTCTGATAGTTAATAGTATGTTTTATTTTCCCCTCTTGAGTTATAGGTTTAAGATGCTGGTTTTGATTCGCCACTTTTACACTAGAAATAAAAATTAGTAACCATATAAACCATGAATGAATTTTATTGCTGTTTTCCAATACCCAATTTTACAATAACCTTTACCTAATCTAAATGCTTAGTTACTTCTCTCAGGGCTAAATAATTCCAGCTGTCTTTATCCGTTCTCATTTGTAAGCCTTTTTTGTCTTGCAGATTCTGCTTTTTAAGGTTTGTTTCTTAGGAGATTGAGGGCTTGTCTTCACCAGGGGTTAAGTCGACCTAAGTTATGCTACTCCAGCTGTGTGAATAACGTAGCTGGAGTCGCCGTAGCTTATGTCGATTTACCCTGGTGTCTTCACTGCCCTGCGTCAACAGGAGATGCTCTCTGGTCGACTTCCCTTACTCTTCTCAGAGAGCTGGAGTACAGTAACTCCTCACTTAATGTTGTAGTTATGTTCCTGAAAAATGCGATTTTAAGTGAAACAATGTTAAGCGAATCCAGTTTCCCCATAAGAATGAATGTAAATGGTGGGGTTAGGTTCCAGGGAAATTTTTTTTTGCCATACAGTACAGTACAGTATTATAGTTGGGAGGTGCTCTTGCCTTACCCCACACAGGCACAGCCCACTGGCACTGGAGACAATGAGTCAGGCAAGGAGGTTGAAGGCGCTATAGGCTAGGAGAAGCAGGTTGCGCAGCAGCAGCAGCTGCCGCTACTCTGCAAGCACCAGGGGCGGGGGGCTCAACCCTCGGCCCACCCACTCCACCCCTTCCCCAAACCCCCACTCTTAACCCGCCTCTTCTTTCCCCCCTCCTCCCCCTTTACTCCACATGCTGTGTCCTCGTTCCTCCCCCACTCCATCCCCTGCCTCCTGCCCGCAGCAATCAGCTGGTTTGCAGCATTCGGGAGGCAGGGGAGGGAGGGGGAGCCTGCGCGCCGAGTCCTCGCTCCTCCCCCCTCCCTCCTGAACACTGGGGCGGGGTGGAGGGGAGCTGATATGGGGGGCTGCCAGCTGTGGACAAAGCAGGCAGCCAAACGACGTTATAGCGAAGCATTGCGCAACTTTAAATGGAGCATGTTCTGTAATTGAGCAGGGACGTAAGATAGAAACAACATTAAGTGAGAGGACGTTAAGTGGGGAGTTACTGTATCAGGGTCAACCAGAGAGCACTCTGCCATCGATTTAGCAGGTCATCACTAGACCTGCTAAATCAATCCTTGCTGCATCGATTGCAGCAGCGTCTATCTCCCCAAAGTGAAGGCCAGCCCTCAGATACAGTCAGTATTAGCTAGAATGATCACTAACAGTTTAAACAAATTTTGAATTCTTCAAACTGCAATAAAGGTTTAATTGATAAAATTAGGTAGCTGTCCTGCAACGAGTTCCACACAGGTGCACAGGTCCATCTGAACAAAGCTCATTGCAGGGCGGGGGCCTTCCCTTGTAACTACATGCACATTGAATGATGCAATATCATTTCCTAAAAGGAGGGAAAGGTCACAATAAATTTGTCACAATAAAGTAAACATCATATTACTATAACTTGTTCCTTTATAACAAGGTGTGTAAAGTATTAATTTTCTGAATAAAATACTAAAAAATTAACTCATCAAATGTGATCATTCTATTGTCATTTGCAGGAAGTCCAGCACAATTGCCAGCTTCATAGGATATCATTCTGTGCTGATGATAAAACTGACAAGAGGATATTTACCTTCATATGCAAAGATTCTGAGTCAAATAAACACTTGTGCTATGTATTTGACAGTGAAAAGTGTGTAAGTATGTCAGATGTTTTACAATGATTTTGGCATCTCAAATGGCCTGTTTTGAAATTAGTACTAGGAAGAGGATAAAACGAGCAGCTAAGTAGCCCCTTATATAGGGACAGCTTGATGTATTGTTTCATGCCAAGATGTTGCCTTTAAAATTGTACTTGTGTTTATTACAGATTTAAATTAAACATTTTGTTAATACTCTTTCACCTAAGGTCACAATGTTTTTTCTTGAGGCAAATCTCCTTCCCAGTACCCAGCCTCACTACCTGGGCCAAGCACCAGGCTGATACACAAGATGGGGAGAGGATCCCTTTCCCTCCAGGCTCTGGAATGTTGCAAAGCTGCCATGTGGAGGTTACTGCAGCACACTGTGTGAAGTAGCCACATGGAATGTTGTGCAGTACACACATATATCCTTATGGGATTTGCACAGTTGGCGTCCTCCCCTCTGCTAGGTCACCCATGTGCTGATACGCCACTAGAAGAATCACTTCACCAACCACTGAAATGCAGTCACTTCTGGGGTGCAACATGGCAACTATTCAACAATGCACAGTTACATTCAAGAATAGTTTAGGACAGGAAGAGAAGAATACTGTGTCCATCTGAAACAGTAGGAGTTTACATAGGCAGAAAATAAATGCCTAATGGAATTTAACTAGGACATTGGTGCTAATGCACTTATTCTTATGAAGAATGACAAGGGATGTTTAATATTCACAATTGCTCAGGACCTCTATTTCATCATACCTCATTTAGAAGACTATAAAAAAAACTCATGACAAAAATTACAGCTTTTTTTCCTCTATAGCATTAGATGCAGTTATATAATCTTTTGCCTTACTGCTTATAGATTATGTTTGGTGATCTTGTCATTAATCTGCAATAGTACAGTGCCAATACCAGTAACAATGTGTATACTCACTGTACATTTCTGTTCGCTTGTATCTTCTTGTCTGTCTTCCTTTCTCTCTTCTTTTAGGGAGGGCAGCAATAAACACTGATCTCGTCTCGATCTCAGGTGCATTTCTTATTCCCTCCCAATAGTCTCTTTATGCTAGTACCTTTCAGAGACTGGGATCTGAGCAGTTGTGCCTAGTGGTTGGTACAGGAGTCAATAGCCAGAAAAAGGCACCCAGGCTCAGAGCAGAGGCCAGAGTCAGATGTCAGTAATTAGATTTGAGGGTTGGAACTGGAGTGGGGAAGGCAGAGGAAAGGCTGGGTCCACCATCAAAGGCAGTAGCAGGACTGAAACAAGGTGGGAGCAAGGTTGGGAAGAAATAGGCAGAGGAGTTATCGCAGCTGTGGGCAATAACAGCCTACTACAGGCCAGCTGCACTTGTTAAGTTGCCTGGAGACTGGCTCTTCTACAGGGCAGGATACCTGACAATACCCCCAACTTGAGGATGCCTCCTAACCGGGCCCAGTTTCTCCGGGTATTTCTGATGGAACTCTTGCAATACATCCAGAATGTGCATATTCTCTGCCCAATCTCAAGATCACTACTCCAGACTGTAATCTTTCCGGTCCGCCAGGTACTGGAGCCTTCCCCTAACTTGCTGAGTTGAGGATTCAGTGGACCAAATCCTCCTGTTTGAGAACAGTTATAGGTTGGAGCGGTTTGGAGATAGGTTCTAGATGTAGGGCTTTAAAAGTGTGAGGTGAAAAGGTGGATCTTTGAGGACTCAACCAACTGTAACCTGAAGGTCACTGTGTTTATCCATTCTATAACCGTGAAGGGGCCCAGGCATTGGTAATCTAGTTTGGCAAATGGGTAGTTTGATTTAAGGTTCTGGGCAGAGAGCCACACCATGTCCCTATGGCCAGATTGGGGACGGCCTGATGGTCTTGGTCCATGTGGTGTTTTATTGGCTTCTTTGGCAGTCTTCAAGTGTTCCGTGAGCTCTTGGTGCACCCCGTGAGTTGGGGGCTAAATCCACAGTGGCTGGCACTGGGGAACTTATGGGTAAGTATGTGTGAAAGTGGGAGAGAAAGCCATAGTTTGCAAAGAAAGGGCTATATTGGGTCTGTTATGTGTTTGTAGTCAACAAAACATGATGTCAAATAACTAACTCAGTTGACATTTTATTTAAGTAAGACGATCAAGCAATATTTAATACAGCACTGTGCAGAAAAAGGAAATATACATATCAATCTCTGTAATGGAGAAGTGATGGCAGTGTAATTCAGTTCACTTCTGATTAACTTCCTTAAAATCACCCTTTATATATATATTTAGAACCTAGAAAAATCCTCATGTTTTTTCCAGAGTTGGTTTTGCCGAGATTTTGCTTATTTGAATATTCTTTCCTTAATCTAATCAATAAGTTAATAATGTCTGTAACTATATTTAGCTCTTAATGACTTGGACATTAGTCAATTCATAACTTAATGGTTTGCTGTTACATTGATTCCAGAACACATCCGCTATACCAAATGCTCCTTGTCCATTTTGTCAGTTACTAATTTTATCAATTACCATGCATTTATGTGTATCCCTTAACAATTGTCATTTTGTCCATTACAACACACATGTATAATAATAGGCACCCCTTTATATACAACGGGTGCTTACAGATCAAGAAAAAATGACCTATTGACTATGAAGTTCTTTTAATGTAATTATAAAGGTACTATAAAAGTACAGTAGGACTTTGGCTCATCTAGAAAGAATCAGTGTGTTATGGTTAAGGTTAAGAATTTTCACAGTTATTTTTAGTAAAAGTTATGGACAGGTGATGGGCAATAAACAAAAATGCATGGGAGCCCATGATCTCTCTGTGACTTTTACTAAAAATAACCAGGGGGAGGAATGACAGCTGGAGCCTCATGAGAGCGGACTGACATCCTGAGTTCTACTGCCAAGGGAGGGGGCACAGCCCCGGCCCAAGCTGTGGGAGGGGGCGCACAGACCTGGCTCCAACCCCAGCTACAGCCACTGACAGCTGAAGCCAAAGAAGTCACGGAAGTCTGTTAAAAACACAGAATCCGTGACCTCCATAACTAAATTGTATCCTCAGTTATGGTAGTGTGGTTTAATTATTAACAGGTCAAGGTGTAGATTGCATTGTTATATTCAAATTTGGAGTAGCACATCAGGGAAGGCTAATTGTCCTGGTGGTAACTGAGAAAACAATAAAGATACTGCTCCAAGATTTGATTGACTCTCTCTGTTTGCCCATTGGTCTTTGGGTGATAAGTGAGTCTCTCACCTCAGCCAATCTGAGAAATTCCCACCAGAATCAGGAAATGAATGGGGACCCAGGTGAGATACAATGCCTATCAGTAACCCATTGTAACAGAAAACATTTTCTAGGAAGAGTGAAGCTGGGTCCCAATGTGGTAGGAAAGTTACAGTTTGGGATGAAGTGTGCCATCTTTGTTAGCAGATCAGTGCAACCAGGATTAATGTGTATCCCTGTAAGCATGACAGTTCTGCAATTAAATCCATTGATATAGTATACTAAGAATGCAGATGTGTGGGTAGAGGCTGGAGAAGACCTAGCGGTTTTGATTGTAGGTTCATGGTATGGGCGCTTTTGTAAATGGTTTCATGTGGCCTGCGTGAATCAGGACGAGTGCTGAGAGGAATGCTTTCTTTAGTTGATCAAAGGCTGTCTGAGCCTGCGTGGACAAGGGAAACTGAGCCCCCTTGTGCAAGAACTGTTATGGGTGCAACCAGGCTAGAGAATCCTTTAATGAATTGCTTTTAGAAATTAGTGAACCCCAGGAATTGCTGAACCCTGCATACCTTCTTGGCTGCAGCCCAGTTGGATATTTCCACCACTTTATGTGGGTTCCCGGTGTATTCCTCAGGTGAAAAGATATATCACCGTGATCTTATCAAGCTTTTCTCAAGCTTCATGCATAGGTGGTTTTGGCAGAGTCTCTCCAAGACAGTGCGCACGTGATTATTGTGGATCCCAGAGAGAATGAGGATCTCATCCAGGTAAATGATGAGAAACTGGTCCAGCATATCCCTAATATGTCATTTATGAAATGCCGGAGCACCCAAACAGCATGACCAAATATTTATAGTGGCCATACCTGGTACAAAAGGTGGTCTTCTATTCATCTCCTTGCTAGATCCTCACCAGGTTATAAGCTCCATGGAGGTTCAACTTTGTGAAGACCTTGGCAAAGCGGAGTCTTTCAAACAGCTCATTTATAAGCGGTAAGAGGAACCAGTTTCAGAGTGTAATCTTGTTCAGAGCTCAGTAGTCCACACAAGGCTGGAAAGAACCATCTTTCTTCACCACAAAGAAGACTGGGGTTCCTGCTGGGGACGTGATGGGGCAAATGAATCCCTTCTGCAGGTTTTAGTCAAGATAGCTCCGAAATACCTATAGTTCAGGTTTAGAGAGGGAGAAAACGTACCCGATGGGAACCTGTGCACTCGGCTAGAAGTTGATGGGGCAGTCGTAGCGCCGAGGGGGCAGTAGGGCATCGATATAACACATCGATATAATGCTGCTACTTAACAGGAATCCACGAAGCTTTTGAGTGTGGTCATGGTGATTGTTGGGGTCACCTTTGCATCCTATCTTCATGTCTCTGAATTCTTTGGAGGACCAAGTGAGCCACAAAAGGTTTCTGATCTCCAGTTAGCTCTCAGGAAACAGGACTATTGGAAAAATGGGAGATCAAAGCACACCATGCCTGAGTGCCAGTAGATGCACGGGTCATGGGAGATGAGCCAGGGGATGCCAGTGTCAACTGATGAATGCAGTGAATAAATTACCTCAAACTGGAGGACTTCTCGGTAGCCTCAAGGGGTAGTTAATTCTAAGGGAGCCATCTGGTCCTCACAAAAGGAATGACAGCTCTGTGGACTTCGCTAACTTGGGGGAGTCCTTGTGCTGGGTGGAGATATTGTGTGCTTGGGCAAATTCCAGATCCATGAAATTGCCTGGGGCTCTGAATCCACAAGCTACTCTTGGTTGGTCTCAGGCATCACAGGGTGCCAGAGCTGGAAAGGGAGTTGAAGATGTGTTGGTTGCTGATTGGCCATCATCAAGGTACCGGTGGATGAGAATAGGCATGGACTGCTGGGGTGAGGGGAAAGACGCAAACCCAGCCCTGATCCCCATAGGTCCAATTCCTAGTGTCAATTCCTCTCTGTGTCAGAGAGGCAGGGCTGGACCTGATTGACTTGCTTGGGCTCAAGCAATGGAGAAGGGACTGGTGATGGGGGAATGGAGCTGGAGCCAGCAGGGCTGGCAGAAACCAGGAGGACAATCTTTTTTTCTCGGTGGCATTCATCGATTTTGATGACTAGGTTGAGTAAGGCAGCCAGGCAGGATGGTGATTCCACTTATGCCATTTCATCTTTAATATTGCCATTTAGGCTGAGCCAGAAATGATAACACTGCCTGGCCTTGTTCCACTAGGTGTCTCCTACCAAGCATCGGAACTCTGCTGCATATTTAGCAACTGGCCAGCATCCCTACTGCAAAACCTCACGTGCAGCTTCAGCTGTACGCTCATTACTTGGGTCATTGAAAATCACCACCATAGCTCAAATAAAGTCTTTAAATTGTCCCAGAAGTAGGCTTGATTTTTCCAGGAGCAGAGATGCCCAAGCCAGAGCCTCCCAGGTAAGCAGGCTGATAATTAGTCCCACTTGGGCTTGGTCAATGGGGTACAACTGTGGGCATAGCAGAAATAGGAGCCAACACTGATTTAGGAACCCATGAAACATGATGATTGTCATTGAACTTGTCAGGCAGAGAGAGTTTTGGCTCATGAGGAGTGGGGGTTGGAACTGAAAGCATGGCTTCTATGCCTTCAGAGTGCTAACCTGGGCCTGCAAGATCTCTAGGGCTCCAATTATTTCCATCAGAGAGGTATTGGCCTTTGTAGGATCCATGCTCACCATATCAGTTCTAGTTCCCTGGTTTTTTGGGCTGCTCAAACTGTCATAAATTGGGACATGGCAGTCGTGCCTAGCAACTGGAGTGGGAGGCAAGTCTGGTGGTTAGGAACAAAGTGAGAGCAAGGCTGGGAACAAGCAAACACAGGAGCTATCACAGCCATGGGTGAATGTTTTGAGCAGCTACCAAACTGTTGCGGCTGCTGGGCTCAAGAGCTGATCTGCTGGCTCTCTTCCCACTGGTCAGGCAGTGTAGCCAATCAGACAGCCTACTACAAGCTAGCTGCGCTCGATAAGTTGCCTGGAGACTGGCTCTGCTGAGGGCCCTGATTCTTGACAGTACCTTTCTCATCCCATTCACTATTGCTCTTTCTCTGACACTTCTGTCTACCCCATGGTACCCTAAGTGAGTTTTGCCTCCTCCTTCTTTCCAGTCCGTTAGTTCCTTCAGCTTCCAAAGAAGCTCATTCAAGTTGGTGCCTTCCCTTCCAATCTACACACATTTCCTGGAAAGTACCCATAATGCCAGCATTGCATATTCCCAAATGCCAATTTACCATTATTTAATTAGTGGTAAATATGGTCTTTCTCTAAGATAATCAACATGCAGCTGATTGGTAATGGTAATTCTGAGCAACTGTCACTTTGTTGTGTTATTTGCAGCAGATAAAATGATTAAACCTGTATCAGTCATTTGGTATTACAGAAAGTTATCAAAGGGTAAGTCTTTACTTGCTTTGAAAATTAAAATCTCAGTCTTGCCTTGATATTTTCCCATGTTTTTCTTTGCTTTTCAATGACAAAGAAAACCAATAGTCTAATCCAGTTGACATAAATCCAGTTTTTATAGTGGTTGTCAAAACAAAATCTGTTTTCCCACAAACACACCACATATATGCCAGTTTTTCCTGTTCTAAGTACAAGGAGAAAACTGAGCAAATGCTGACCATTTAATGGTGATTACTGGGATTAACTGAGTTTCCAAAAACATTAACAATTAATTAATATATTGTATTGTTGCATTTTTGACACTGCAAAAGTTATTCAAAGTAAAATCTTCCCTATGTAAAAGAAATTGAAACATTATGTATGGAGTTCTCAAATATGAAGAGAGAAACTATTTTATTTGCCTGGACATCCACAGGTTTGGTTTGGCACTTGTGGTCTTCAATACTTAAGCACAGATATACGATATATAGATATATCGACCTTATGGAAATTGATTCCCTATTTTTATAATATAGACTTTTGAAACCTAACTAAAAATAATGAAAGTAAAATATTTATTTAACAAAAGAAAGTTACAGCCATCAGCCACTTTCAAGAGATGAAAATGCAACATAAACAGACCCAAGCACATTGTTTATAGATATTGAAGTAGCATAATGTACACTGCAACATAGATAATTGCATTCTGTCTACAGCAGTTTCCCCTGTAGTTTATTTGCATCAATTATTCTTCAGTTATCCTCCTGGCTGCCATGTTTCTTTTCAAAGCTGACTTCATTTCAGTGGTGGGTGAAGCAATGCCTAGGTATATTGTACATTATGTATAGGGCCCTACCAAATTCAGGATCCATTTTGATCAATTTCACGGAGAGAGAGAGATTTAAAATTGGTCAATTTCATGATTTCAGCTATGTACACCTGAAATTTCACAGCGTTGTAACCATGGGGGTCCCAACCCAAAAGGTACCCGGAAGTAGGTCTAATCTCCCCACCACACCCTCTCCTCAGAGCCACCATGCAAGGGAAGGACAAGTCCTGTCTCTCCCCAGCCCAGCAGGGACTCACAGCTAAGAGCTCCCTGGCTAGGGCACCTCCAGGAGCAGGGGGATATTGGACCCATCTCCACAAGTGTCCTCCTGCCGCAAGAATCTCCGGAGCTGGAGCTTCCTGCAGCAGGGGGAGGCACTCCAAGGTGGGTCTGATCTCCTCCTGAAAGTGAGAATGGCCATGCAGCGGACGGACAAGTCCTCTCCCGGCCCAGTCGGGACTTGCAGCTAGGAGCCCCCTGACTAGGGTTCTCCCAGCAGCAAGAGGAGATCAGATTTCACAGGGAAGGGCTTATTTCACAGTCAGTGACAAATTTTTCACGGCCGTGAAATTGGTAGGACCCTAATTATGTAATATGTTTTGTGCTCCTGTGAAATGAAAAGCACTGTATAAGATATCCTTAACGTGCTAACTCCAATATTTTACTTGTATAAAGGCTGAAGAGATAACTTTAACAATTGGTCAAGCATTTGACCTGGCTTACAGGAAATTTCTGGAATCTGGAGGAAAAGATGTTGAAACAAGAAAACAGATTGCTGGGTTACAGAAAAGAGTAAGTCATACATATTTGTTGTTTCTCTTGATGAAAATTATATACTACTGTAATTTTTTACAAATTTCTGTGAAGTATGCTGGAGCATAAGTTGCAATACTATACTGTACTAAGGACAGAAGATTATTAAGAGACTCCAGAAACACTAAAAAAGAGGACAGTAATCTAGGAAAGAATACAGTGTGCATCTTTCCATCATCCTGAAAATTCACAAGTGCTAAGAAATGTATTACATTTTCAAATAAAATGAGGCATTTGGGTCAATTATTAAACACAATTACTAGCTTTTTGGTAATTAGTTTGTCGTATAGTGTTAAGAAGAGCAGATCTCAAATAAATAAAGAAATAAAAATGTTACTTATGATTTGTAGCTAAAATTAGATACATCAGAGGATGAGTATCCCAGTAGCTGTTACAATGACTGTTTGTTTTGTAGATTCAAGAACTAGAAACTGAAAATATAGAACTGAAAAATAAGGTACAAGATTTGGAGAACCAGTTAAGAATAAATCAAATACATACATCTCCAGTAAGTACATGGATACAACTATGTTTTCCAGCCAAGATTGGTATAACTTAAAATTATTTAACAACATCTTTGTGTTCTGATAACAAATACAGTATTCACACTATTTCTGATTATTATAATTAACACACTATAATCCTATATTTAAGTAACAGTAAGATTGTGACAAACCAACAATTGTAGGAAAATTAAGTTATATTCAATAAATGATGCTTCCTTAACTCAGCCTGTTGTGACCTGATGTTGCTGTATATATGCAAACTAATTTTTCTCAGACACACAAGCAGACTACCTAAGGATGAAGAGCAAAGTCCTGTGTCCAAAGGATCTGGTTCAGTGTGCCAACCCTGCACTTTGTAACTCAGGATTTCTTAATAACTTTCTGTCACAAACATATCGTTACTTACATCTACTGTTTTGTCTATAACTTACTTCTTGTTTTAACAAGTTTTATGTTCTTCTGAAATTCCCTAGTAGAATCACATAGCCCAAGAGCCATTATGATCTTTCATGCAAATAAGTACTCAAAAGATTGGCTTACTAGTTATGACTGTAAGCGAATGAAAATCCATTATCCATGGAAATATTTTGCCTTCTTCAGAATCAGTGGATATCGATTTTTATGGAATTTTTAAATGGCACATTTAGATATCTAGTTAGTGAACTATTAAAAGTATAGGTTGTTTAGCAGACTGACCCTAATGGCTCTAAAGCAGTTATAATTTATTGTATCCAAATATATTTACAAAGCTGTAAAAAAAAAAACAGTTGATGTACATTTACAAGTCCTTATGAAAAGTATCTAATTTTTCATCTAAATATAATTGATGAAATGCTGTTCCTATTGAAGTTAATTGGGATAGAATTACATCCCTTGAGTCTATATATTTGTCCAAGCAGAAAAATAATTTGCCAATTTTTATTTTTTATTTTCTTAAGTCAGAATATTTTTTTGAATTACAGAAGAATCCACACATTGTACAGTGCATTTGCTTTAATTTTTACAGTTGTGTAAATTAAAATTTGGTCCTACCACATATTCTGAAAATATTGAATTTTTTTGAAATTTTTTTCATCTTGTTTCCGGCCTGAAACTCCATTATGCCTAGTATCAGCCTTAAGTGAATGTTTACATTTTGATCCACAAAGCCCCCCAGAGTCTGTTTATTATAGCAATGATAATTTATCAGTATTATCACTATCCTGAAATGAAGTTCTGTGGAGGTCTGTCTCCATAATGTCATCAAGTGTAATAGTAACATGTGACCGGAATGGATATGATTATATATATGAAGGTCTTTCTTTCATAGGGACTTATATGAATCCCTCAGTGAAAACTGTAAATTATATATGATTTCTGACTTACTATGCATTCAATCAAAAGCACTAATCCCTCAGGCCAAATCCTCAACCTTTATTCAGGATTTTTTCCTATAAGAGTTGATCCTTTATTGGTAAACCTAATCATTCAATTTGTCTAATAGCAAAATCAGCTTTTATAGTAACCCTGTGATAGATACATTCTTCTTATAAAAGAAACAAAAAAACAATATTTTCCTGTTTAGCTTTTTGGTCCAAGAACCATGTGTTCATTATGTGTGCATCCAGTGTTGATCACAATGGGACCCAAGTACCTGATGGGGCCTCTTGATACTTAAACAATACAAATAACATATGAGATTGTAAACTGCAATTGTATAATGGCCAAATTATGCACTTCACTGATTGGGTATTATTATTATTGGCATTGTGGTAGCAATATGTATATGCTTTCTGTGTATTATTTCAATGTGACTTCTGGCACATGGTTCTGAGAACAGAATTTGACCCTTAGGACAGCTGTTATTTTGTGTGGTGGAATGCCTGTGAGGAAATCTGCAATACAGTCTTAAAAGTACTGGTTTAAAGCATTTTTGCACATTTTTTCTTTATTTTATTTGCTAGTGAATATAAGACACACAGATGTTAATATCACATTTACATTTCATACCCATTAATTACAAGAATAACATATCTAATCATATATTTTCAAAAAATCATCTCCAAAATGTTGTTTCAAATATAATCATACACTAATTTTTGTTATTTCTTTAGATTGAACATTTAAAAAGAAAGACTTACCATACAGAAGTTCTAATAATTAGAATTACAGTAAGAACTACCCAGCAGCATAAATATTAATATATAAATTAATTCTGCCAGCCAGCAGCCTTAAATAATCAAACAGAGATAACAGTGTATTTCAGCTAATCAGCAATAAAAAACAAATACTCCAGGAAAACTTCTCATTCTCATATCTTACCTCGTAACATAACTTTATCCTTCCCGCAAAACCCTATCAAACAAATAGCTTTTGCAGCATGCCCAGAAGGTCATTTGAATAGGCCAAAGCTGTTTGTATTACCTCTATAATAAAATGAGCAGGTACATGTAAGAGAGAGGTATGGAATGAGAAAAAAATTGTTAAATATAATAGACTAGTGCTTTACATAAACTGTTAACTAAATAAGTTTCAGTAATGGAAAATATCTGCAAAGATAGTGTGACCACGGAACCTGCAAAACCTCAATTCCCATTGTCCAGCCACACACAGGAAGAAAGAAAAGATTCAATGGATGTGTTTAAATAAGGCTGCACCTTTTTTAATTTATGTGGGATCACCCAGCAGTAAATTGTACAGCGCTGGTCACCATTCTTTTCTTAATCATTTCCATCTATTTGGGAGGGCTGCCATCAGCCCTTCCCCTTCCCAATCTGGTCCTATCCCATTGCTGGGACCTCTCCACCCTCCCATCATAAGGGTTTAGAGGGTCTGGAAAAAGGGGGCTATCTCCCCCCTATCCTAGACATTAAGAGTCCCAACTCCCTTTTCCAGCTTCCCTAGGAAACCAGATCCCCTCCTTCCCCCACCACCCCTGCAATGAGTACCTGCACTGGACATCTGCCTAATTTGTGACATCTTGACCTCAATTCCTTACCTAACTCAACAGGTCCCTGAACTGCTGTGGGGAAGGCAAAACAATCCTCAGCACCTGGGCCAGTATGGCAGTGAGGGAAAAATTCCTTCCCAGCTCCAAAAGAGAAAAGGCAACTAGCACAGTGTCCACAGTAGATCATAAAATACTTGGTCCTACTCTGATCCCATGGGTGGGAGAGAGGGCTCTGCTGCGTCATGAAGAGAGAGGGTACAATTTGGATGGCACTGGATATAAATACCCTTCTCCCCCAGCTGGTCTGCCTGGTGGTTCAGTGTCCCCACCTAAACCAGTAACTTCTGGTTCCCCCATGGCTCAAAGAGCTACAATCCCTTTTCTTCCTCCTTGCCAGACAAAGTCCTGCAGCATTCAGTTGTGATGAGCATATTATAGTTAGAAGAGGCACTAAAAACTTTGCAGGATGTGGACTGGTATGTGTTTAAGGCTAAATTATGCTTAGTCAAACAAGAATATCTAAATTACTATGTTTTACAAAAGTAAAAGTAGAATGAATGTATCTTTTCTTATATTCGCTATACATTTCTGTGAAAAAAATTTGTGATGTTACTTAAAATAGTAATAAAAAGTAATCACAGGATTTTGTTAAAGTTCCTTTAATGCACTTTTTTAACAGGAGAATTTTTAAATTCATAGATCTAACCACGGGAAATCTGCTTCCTCTTTTTTGCTTTTTTTTTGTTTTGTTTTGTTTTTTTAAATGTATGACCTTTCTTGTGTTACTTGTTAATGAGCAGACACGTTTTTCCAATTTGATGAAAATTTAACTTTCTGGGAAAAATATATTTCAAAGTCTGGACCTTTCTAAAAAAACTATCACATCTCAATAGCCAGCTAACCACTTCTAATAATCAGAGTGAAAAATGCAGCTTCTTTTTGTTAATTCTGCTCATTCCCCATTGAGATCTGTGCAGTGAACTTCATAAGGATATAATCTTGTAATGATGTAACACAGAAGAATTACTATATTCAGTCAGAAAAATGTAAATCTAGTTTTGTTCATTCACATTTAAAATAGCAGATGGATTATTGTGTTTTATATGCTATAAGTGAAGTATGATAGATATGTGCTCTCAATACACGTTATTAGGCGTTTCCTAGTATGACTCAATAACACAAAGAGTTTGTAGTTGTTCGGGGGTACTAATCGTCATAGAAATTCACAGCATGTATCATAATTATTTCCTCTTGTTTTACAATGTGAAATTATATTTAAATTTTTAAGTATAAAATAATTTAAATCCACACTAAGAAATGCTTAGGAAATATCCTTATGAAAAGTCCTACATCTAAATTAGCAATACTTCAAACATCAGACTGTCAATTGTTTCATTTAAAAAAAAAACAGGAAGAAACTAGCTGGCATGGTGTATTAGTGATCTACTAATATTTTTAATACATATGCCTATTTTTAGAGGAGATTAAAACATCTGAATCCAATAAACTTGAACATTACTAAGTGAATTTTAAGTGTGCAGAAGTTGAACCTGTATAAATATACATATTTGTTTTTCTTTCCGTTTTTTGAAGTAATAATTTAAAAAAACAATTCTTTTTAAAAGGTACCAGTGTCGTGCTGGGTTTCTGACCCTCTTTTGGACATAATATCAAATAATTAGATCTATTCATATTTTCCATCATTTGGATATAACTATTTATATCTTTTCATAACATGGTATATATCAGTTTTATCTTACAATTATTTTGTACATGAAGCTCCCATTTAAGTTAATTAGTGTTTACATGTTAAGGGACTGCAGGACTGAGACCTAATACTCTGTCGCTGTGCAATACTATAATACCACATGTGCTACTGTTGGAACTAGGCTACCCTCAGTGAGGCAGTAGCAGAACTCTGCTCTCTTTCCTGGTCAGCCCCCAACTGGGTAGGTCTCCTCCTTTTAAGCCCCCTTCTCCACACCTGACAATGCTGGAGGTGTAGCAGGGGAGGGTCCATTGGCTGTCCTTTAAACTCTTGTTGCCTTGGCATGGGTATTGTCGCATCCAAAC